AAAAAAAAAATTATATTTATAAAGGGAGTTGGATCATAAAAAGTAAGTATGTACAAATTGCAATGGAATCTATAATGGAATAACATACATGACAATTAAAGACTCAAGCCAATCTGTGATGTGATACCAGTTGCAGTGGATAGTATTTTATAGTGTAAGTCATCCAACTGCAGTGTAGTTCCCTACAAGTGAAGAACATCTAAACCTAAAAGAAGGGCAATTTGATTCTCAGTAGCCGAAAAATTGCTGTTGAATGAAAAGGTACAACCTAATGTAGTAGTACATTAATGTAGTTGAACTTCAGTGTTAACTCTTAAAACAGCTCAAGGCAGTTGGGGGACCAAGTATATGTAACAGGAGTTTCTTTATCCAAAGAACTTGCTTCAGAGAAGTTTTCTGGCTAAAATGGGAGTCTTCATTTTCATCTTGCAGATATTGAAACAGTAAATGGATTTTAAAGGTAACTGGAACCTGGCAGAAGATGCACTCCTTTGCTACTTCATCCCTGTATTTGATGGATGAAAGAGGGTTTCTTATGTCTACCATATGAGATCTTTCAAGCCTTGCACTAAACTATAGTTAATCTATTAATTTAAACATTGATCAATACTATTTTTCTTTCAGTTCATCTGATAAAAGTGTAAAAGTTTGGGATGCTGGAACAAGAACCTGTGTTCACACTTTCTTTGACCACCAAGATCAGGTATGTCTACTATTACTTTATCTGGTCACTGCGTTCACAGAACTCCAGTTGTGTAGTTGTGCGCATTTGTGCTTCAACTTGGTGCTACAGCTTCGAGGTTTGACTTTAGCTTGCTGTAACGAAATCTTAAAAGTTGTTCATGATTATTTGGCACTTAATATTGAACTAATACTCCAAGCATGTAGGTTGATCTCTTCCAAGTAATTACATTTTTTTCAGGTCCAAATAAGGGCAATCCTGAGTGGCCAAAAGAACTCTTACCACACTGTATTTTTTCTCTTTGTCTATGATCTTACTTATTTCATATCACTCGCACAGCATGTGCGTGTGTAAGGGGGGAAAATACTTATTTAAAAGGATGCAATTATCTAAAAAGATGCTTGAAAGCACCCTTGAAACTTGGGACTTTTTCCTCCTCTAGTGTCTGTAATACCCTTCCCCCCTGCCCCCAGTAGTAGCTACCTGTGAGGGAAGAGGAAGTTAGGTATCCACCAAGTTACTCTTTTTCCAAATGTTAGGTGTTAAATAGAACAATGCTATTTTTTAATGGATCATAGAGGAAGACTTAACAAAGGAAATGCTTTAAGATTTTATTTGGGCTCTTCCTTCCATAGTATTTTTTTGCTGGTAACCTTTGCAGTTATCTACAGCTATGGGGGTTCTATTATTGAAGTACCAAGCGGAATTAGATTTCCAGTGTTTTAGCTGTTGTCTATAATCTCGTAAGTTTGTGGAAGGCAGAGATGTATCAGCTCTTGGGAAGGCTGTTTTTTAGGTATTAATGCAAAATCGGTGTATGAGATTCCCCAAAACATGCTGTTGTCAATATATGCATTCTGCGATCAGTTAATATGCTGCGATCCCAGTTAATATGCTGGGTAGCCTTCACTCTTCCTGATGACAGAGATGGGGGTCACTTAAGAGTTTAACTGTCATAAGTCAGAGGACTGACCTGAATTTTTCTAAGCTTTGCACTGGTAAGTGAATGGCTCTCTTAATTAGCCCAAGGATAAACTGGGTCATTCTTCAGTCTGTCATGTCAGTCTGCATGAAAAATACTTCTTCTCTTGCTTTTCTGAAAGCACTGTAAAGTACTTTTTTTGGAAAGGAGGACAGGATGGGCAAGAGTGAAAACATTAGGTTTGATTTATGCAAACTGGGGCAAATACTTTTCAGCCTTTTTCAAGTATCTTTAGGTTGTGTAATCCATTGTCAGTACGAATGGAATGCAAGAACTTGTCAGGCTACTAGATGGCAGTTTCCTTCTCTGCCATCAAGGAACCAGATAAGGTCAATCAGCCTTATCTACTGTTAAAGCAGAAGCCATAATTGGACCAGCTCTAATAAGGTGATCTTATATAATCCTCTTTTCTGCTTGTTGTAGTCAATAAAGGACTGCTATGAAGACATTTTTTCTTAGTCTCCTCTTGATAACCTTGTGTATGTCCTATTTGCAGGTTTGGGGAGTGAAATACAATGGAAGTGGGTCCAAAATTGTATCTGTTGGAGATGACCAAGAAATTCATATTTATGACTGTCCAGTTTAAATGTCTTAACCAGAGGGTCTGAGTTAACTCATGGCAATTTTGAGGAATACTACTGTCCTTAATATGTAACTTTCTAACAAGAAAAAAACATTTTAGTAATGCTGATCTGCAAAATCAGATATGTTTATATGTAATTTTGGTTTTGTTTAGCATGAGAGAAAGCTTTACTTTTTTTAAAAATAAAAGCTACAGATGCAAGTAACTTGTGTCTAACTAATCCTTGGAAAAATGTATTTTTGGAAATACGTAGTCATGATTTTGGTTTTGTTTAGCATGAGAGAAAGCTTTACTTTTTTTAAAAATAAAAGCTACAGATGCAAGTAACTTGTGTCTAATATCCTTGGAAAAATGTATTTTTGGAAATATGTAGTCATGGTTGAAGTAACTGTTCAGTTAATCTCCCCTGCCTTTATACATAAATAGACTGGGTCTGGAAAGCATTGATCAAGTCTCACAGCAGCTTATTTTAGCAAAAGGAAAAGTGACTGAGGCTACATGTTGTATGCATGGGAAAAGATAGCCTGCACTCATCTTGATGTTGTCCCAGTGAGTGCAACAGGGTCACTTGAGTTGAACACCTGTTCCAGCAATTGTATGGTGACATTCATCATGGGTTTATTTACTAAAGGGTGCTTGCTGTTTCCAATCCTGGCTTAATACAAACTCTACTAGAAAACAGATAAAAGGAAAAAAGCTATGGTAGCATGTCAAGTTATAAACAGCAACAGTGTACTCAAGACATGTGGCTCTGATTTATTCATCTCAGTTAAGGCTTAAGTACATAATGCCTAGGAGGAAGTAAAACCTTTTCTAGGGAAGGCTGAAATATAGAGCTTGAGCTTCTGAAAGATGAAAATTTTATTTGGTTTGCCTGTATGTGAATTAGAAGTAGGTAGGGTACACTCCATACACATTAGGAGGATGCCTTATAACCCTAAACTACACTTACATAGAACTAAGCCGTTGGAGTAATGCTACTCTAATGCAACAAAAGACAACACAGAAGAGTTACTATGCAAGGAGTGGGGCACACGCAATGGTTTTGAAATACACAATGACACAGGTACTAGTGTTGCTGCAAACAAAGTTGAATATGGAGAACAATCTAGATTAGGTGACATGAGTCAGAGCTTAGAGAAACTTTTTAAATAAAGGGGGTTCTAGAGTGGCTTAGAAAAGTACAAGAGAAGCATGAGAAAATGTGAAGAGTTCTATTTATTAGAAGTTATTTCAGCTATGTTTTCCATGAAATTAATTTTCCAGTATGAAAGTATTTACATAAGACACTCCACTTAGCCTCTATCAACATTGCCAAAGTCTTATATAAATAGCATAGGTGAAATAAATTGAGAACCTTCACAGCAAAGGAAAACATACCAACTCAGTTGGTTCTCAGCTGTGTAACATTTGCTTTATATATAAAGACTACAAGAACACAATATAAATTAGTTACAAAAAGGTGATACTGACAGCGCAGCAACTCAATTTGCTGAACACAAAAACCACAAGCAGTGGCTATTACAGCCATGCAGTTTTCATTGTGAAAATTTACACTTTAGATGACATCCATTCCACCTTGCTTTAAGATGTCTGACACTGTACTCCTGTTCTTGGACCCTCCTCATCTTCTTCATATGCTTCTCCCCCACTGTTACGGTAGGTTTGCTCACTTGGATCAAAATCTTCAAGGTCTACCTGGTCCATCTCGTCTGTAATCATAACATCTTCTCGTGGAGGAAGCAGACCCTCCAGCAGACACAATTTCTCCCTTGGGAGCCAGTAGTGCTCTGGGAACTGGACCTACAATTTTATGTATATGTGGGGTTTTTTAATGAATAGTTACTCCTGATGCCAACACAGGTATCTTTGCTACAGAAAAGCAGTCAACTTACCAAAAATTGTATAATTAAGCTGCCTTTTTCCATTGGAGATTTGTAGATAGGCATCCCTTCATTGTAGATACACTTTAGGTCACCATGTTTTATCACTTCACCTACACAGAGGTTAAGAGCTGTAAGTAAGCTTACACGACAGACATTTCATAACCATGAAAAGCAGGCTAATACACAAGCAGTGTTCCCAGAGCATGTGAGGGAGACTACTAAAGAACTCACAGAAGAGGTTGCAGACTGGGAAGTACTAAACCCAAGCTATACAGAAGGCCATTTAGGCCATTTCCTTTACTGTCAGAGAATCTGCTTCTCTTAGCGGAGCCTTCAGGCTGAGTTAACAGATAATCTAGTAGCATTTAAGTTTCTGGCCTCTTGAATATTTCCCTGGCTATCCACCAACCAAGGCTGAAGTTTATTAAGAAACATTTGACAGCTTTAGCTATAAATGTGCATGTAATGTTTTAGGAGGAGTGACGAGAATGACAAAAAAACAACTAAATTAAATGACTGCAAGTGCAGTTTGAATCTGTTGCATCAACTGGTTAAAAAAACCAAAAAAACCACCACACAGAACACAAAATAAACACCCCCCTCCAAGGCCAGTCCAGGCACAATGAAACAGGCAAGCAGTTTATATAGCATCAGAACTCTTAAGACCTACCTGGCCTGGATGATATGACAAGTACTCTGTTATCCAGAGTTTCAATGGTCTTTCTGAAACCACATAAAGCCTCTGAGAGCTGAATTCTCATTTTTGTGATTAAGTCATGCCCTCGTCTCTGAAAAACACTGTGATCCTTTTGATCAAGCACAATTATAACATCACCAGGCTCCAGATCAGGCTCCTGGTCACCTTCTCCATGAAATACTATCTTCTGACCATCTTTCATACCTAGAAAAAAGAAACCCATTTATTCTCTGCAGAACTATAGACTATGATTAGGGACATAAAACAGATATACAGTTCCTACCTTTATCAACATGAACTTCTATGATCTTTTTCTCTCTCACAACCTTACAGCCATTGCAGTTGTCACACCTGTCCTTCGGATTTATTCTTTCACCTTGGCCTTTGCATTCTGGACACACAGTTTGGATTTGTTGTACCATGCCGGGTCCAATCTGCTGAACTATAACTTGCATTCCTCTTCCTTTACACACAGGGCACTTTTCTACTGCCCCTCTCTTTCCGCCATAACCTTTGACAAAAAAGTTAAATCTGATCTCAGTCTCAAAAAAAACAAAGTTACTCTACAGTAGTCAGGCTGGAACTCATTGACTTCAAGAGCACCTTTAGGGCAACTTACAGTAGTTCAGCAATATATTTCCAATGTAATTGGAATTTATTTTCCATCACAAAACAAGCCACACAAGTTAGAAGTTTCTACAAGCAAAAGAAAAGTCCAGTTTTCTACACACAGCTTACGTTATTAGCTGCTGCCCCTCCTCCCAATACATCTTGGTTTTCAAGGAACTATCAGCATACCAACTTGAAGACCTGGACATTCCATTAATACTTTGAAAAGAATCTGCTTGCTAAATATTTAATAGAGTACTAAGATACAAGGCATCATTAAGATTTACCTCAAAGACCACCAGTCATTATGGACACTTAATAGCTGTAAAATGAGTTGCGTAATACAAGCTAGACTTCTACCCACAGCAATTAAAAAAAAGTTTAATGAAACAGCCATTTATTAAGGTTCCGGATTAAGGTACTTTTAAATTCAGGTACCCTTAACTATAATTCACAGTGAGTTTAAGTCTGCCATTAGAACAATAACTTTATACCACTATATTTAAGAGAACCTTATTCTTGGATAAGCATAAGTAAAAACTAAATACCCTAGCAGATTTTCAGGGGCAGGGAGGAAGGAAAGAGAAAAAAAAAAAAAAAGCCCCACACTTCATTCCGAGCCCCCCGTTCTTAAAAAACAAACAAACAAACTTGGAATAAGAGGGGTTTGCAACCACTACTTGTTTTTTACCTTCACACTTCCCACAAATAACATTCTTTTGCAGTGCCAGTTTCCTTGTAATACCATTATATAAGTCTTCAAGAGATACACCTAACTGGTGCACAACATTTTTGCCTTTAAAAAAAAAAAGATAAAAGATTAATTCTGGTTCAGCTGTTGTAAGGACAAATGTTTACTTAAAGGCTTCTACACATGTTCATACATGCACAGTCTCACTGAAGAAATGTAAAAGTACATTCCAAACTTTAGGCTCAGGCCCCTTAAAAGCATGTGCAGTTCCATCAGCTTCCACTGAGCTGCACCCACTTCTGTCAGAACATAAAGTTTAGCTGTAATTAAGCAAAGCATCATTAAAGCCACCCTATCCCTGCTCCTACCCCTAATTTTAAAAGCTTAACTGAAACAGCAAGATGCAAGGACACTACCAGCTTCAGATCTAGTCAATTCAGAAGTTGCTATTATGCCTACCTATACATTTCCATGCCACTTCATAGCATAATTTCAAAGATTTTATAGCAAGTTACTACTTGCTCCTTCAACTCACATTGTGCATGGGAAAAGACAAAAATCATACAGCACTCTGTATGTTATGCTGCTTTTGGCAGCACTCTGTACTCAGTTTCACATAATTTCTCCCAAATGTTTTAATGAGATTTAACATCATTGAAGTTTAAGTTGATGGTGTCCTTTGAAGCAAGTTGCCCAAAGCATATGAGCAAGTGAGGCACAGATGTGGAAAAAAGGTAACTTGTAACAGGTCTAATTCAACTGCTCTAACCTACCAATGTTCCCCCCCCTACAGATTACCCACACCCACGTTAATAAAAAATAAACAGAACTCATCAGAAAGATTGCTATGGCTATGTCATGTTATCTACTTTATTAGACTCTTAATGCTGCAGTAACTAAAAAAATAAATCATAGTTTACTTGATCTATTGTTGCAACAAGTAATACCCACACTATGTGCACTTAGCAGAACAGCAGTACCATAGCACAGGTCTTTTATGCTTAAGTGCATGGTTAGAGTTTCTAGAACTTGTTTAGAACTGTGTACCTCTTCTCTCTCTATTCATTCGGCCTCCACCACCAAAGAACATGTCAAAGATGTCCATGGGTGAAGAGAAGCTGCCGCCACTCAGGCCTCCTTCTTTAATAGCCTGCTCCCCACCCTGGTCATAGAGGTCCCTTTTCTTTGGGTCCGACAGAACTTCATATGCCTGGGATATGAGTTTAAACTAAAAAGAAAAAAGAAGCTCTGAACAACTATGACCAAGAGGACAAGTAACCCTCTCATATGCAACTCCATCTTCAGATTGAGCCACTATAGCACTCTCTTGTAGCATTTGTCTTTTTTCAAAAGGAAACTCCCTAAACAAATGTGTAGTACACTGTAACAGTACTCTTTTTGTCCAGGAAAACCACCCCTTTTCTCCCTCTCCCCCCTCCTCCCATGTTACAAGTGGGCTTAATTCAGAGTTACATCCAACTCACAAGCATATGCAAACTACACTTTGATGATTGTGGTAGCTGCAACCATTATACACCTCTAACAAATCCATTTAGAAAGGGATATGATATTATCCATAAAGTCTTGGAGGTCCCCAGACACTCAATGGCCACAGCAGTGCTAGTCATTCTAGAGCTACACAGGGATCCTTCATCCCTGCTGAGCTGCTACATCTGGCTAGAACTAACCAGATATTTAAGCGACCAGACACTGGTGTTGCTTACTCATTGCAAATAGGACTTAGATACAAATCAAAACACCCACTTTATAAAAAAAAAATTGATTTTTTTTTAAAATAGCTATCAAGAATTTCCTATTACTAAGATGACTAAGTCAATCTTTAAACACAAATTGCTATTACTGAAATGACTACTTCCATTTTAAACGTGATTTATTTATGACCAGGTAAAGTAGTGTAAGTAAAAAAAAAAAAAAGCAGGCCAAAAAATAAAGGCAGGAAAGGTTAACCTTTGACTATTTTATTCTTTAACGAGCTTGAGTTTTGTAAATTACTGTACTAGATACACAAATATGGAGCTTCTATTCCTATGATTAAGGTATTATCAGACCAGCTTTTAGATAGATAATCCTATAATTCAAGTTTTCCATAGCTGTCCAATTGTGGTGCTCATTTATCCTCCTAGGCAACATGTGGAGTTGAGCAGGTCTCTGCTAATAGCATATAAAATGGTTTTGTTGTAAGCAGTCCACCCATGTGCAGCCCAACGATTTCCTCCAGATAGTTACCTTGTACATCTGCATTAGCATTTTCTCTGAAGAAAACTCATCCTGTTCAGGAACACAAATCCATCCAGTGCAACCCCAGCACGCACAGTAGTGCTGGCAGCTGGATCCACCACTGGCCTTTCCAACATCTGACACAGCACGATGGCCATTAGGACACTAGAAATCCTTTCAGCTTTGCCTTTTTTTACCAGCACCTCTACTAAGAATGAGCTCCCACTGGCAACTACGGGGAGACCAATAGGAACTGCGTCCAAAAAGAGGAACTAAGGCATCCCCTCCCACCACA